GTTCGAGTATGTGGTCTATCCTAGACAATGTTCAGTGCACACTTGAAAAGAATGTATATTCTGTTTTGGGGGGCATATAATGTCCTAAAAATATCAACCAAGTCCAACTGTTCTATTGTGTCATTTAGTATCTCTGTTGCTTATTGATTTTATGTCTGGAAGATCTGTCCAATGATGTAAGTGGGGTGTTAAAGTCTCCAATATTATTATGTCCTCATCAATTTCTCCATTTATATCTGTTAGTATTTTGTTTTATATTATTTAGGTGCTCCTATATTGGATGCATATATGTCCACAAGTGAGACAACCCAATAATTAAAATGGCAAAGGACCTGAATAGACATTTTTCTAAAGATGATATACAAATGGCCAATAAGCACAGGAAAAGATGCTCAACATCATTCATTAGTCATTAAGGAAATGCAAATCAAAACCATAATGCAATACCACTTAACACCTTCTAGAATGGCTATGACTTTAAAAAATAATCATATTAACAAGTGTTAGCAAGAGTGTGAAGAAATTGGAACCTTTGTACATTGCTGGTGGGAATGTAAATTGATGCAGCCACTGTGGAAAACAGTTTGACTGTACTTCAAAAAGTTAAAACTACAGGGATTTTAGTTGTTTGTCTTGGTCCATTCACACTGCTTTGAAAAAATACCACAGACTGGGTAGCTTATATCTAACAAACATTTATTTCTCATAGTCCTGGAGGCTGAAAGTCCAGGATCACAGCACCAGTACAGTTGTGTTCCTGTAAGGGCCCTCTTCCTGGTTCATAGCCAGCACCTTCTCGCTGTATCCTCACATGGTGGAAGGGGCGAGCAGGATCTCTGGAGTCTCTCTTATAAGAGCATTCATCTCATTCATGAAGGCTTCTCCTTCTTACACCATCACATCTGGCATTAGGATTTAAATGTATGAATTTGGAGGGATGCAAGCATTCAGACCATAGCATTCCATGCTGAAGCTATTTCAAGAGTCTCTTTTTTTCACAGATATCAGGAGTTAAGGGAGTCGCTCCAACGATGTAGGCTCCCCTGGGGCACTGAAAGGGAATATGGTGGGGTGATACCCATTTCACTTCCTGAGGAACACAGGCCAAAATGTGAACCTCCTCGTGTCATGGGCAAAGGACATCAGCATTATGGATTTGGCGGAGAAACCTGGGCAAGGTAAATAAACTTTCCACCCCTCACATAGAGGTCTTTATTATTCAGTTCTATTTCTATTATGCGTCTTTTGTTAACTTAAATCTATTTCCAAACTTATTTCTCTTACTATTTATGAAAGGACACAGATAGGAAAACTAATTATATAATTTCTAATTATCAAGCCAGTAAAAAAAATATGCTATAGGTGTTTTTGCTTTCTTTAAAGATGTTTAAGTGTGTGATCAGAAATGTTGATTCATTTAATTCCCCTGCTAATCACATTCTACCTAAACCTAAATGGGAATGTTCTGAGAGAGATTAAATTAATTTTTTTGCTTGAGCAAATAGCTGGCCTAATTTGTACCAATGTTCCTGATTTTTGGAAATTTTTATTTCTAATTTGTTTATCAGTCTATAGTCATCAAAGTCTATTGGGCACTATTTTCAAGTATTAAAATATTTCAGTTGTCATTTATAAACCTTAAACCTACTCTTTCAGTAACTTTATTCAAAATACAGGTTAAATCTGAAGAGAAGGCAAAAAAAAATTTTGAGCAGCAAATTAAATGCCACATTAACTATTTACTAAAAGGCATGAAATTTACTCAAAGCAAAATCCATCAGACCTCATACAGAGCCTACTTACTACTGCTTTATATAACTACTGCTTTATATAACAAGCTAGTTTACTAACAATCTAGCTAACTTTTTCTAGTTTTTTGTCCTAAAGTAGTTCAAAGAAATAAATCAGGAAAGACAAGCTGCAGCTAGAGAGAAAATCAGTTACAATACAATCATGCAGCAGCCTTATGAAAGCCTCTGTGAAGCAATGAAAAGCAGACAAATGAAAAGGCCTCTCAGTCCAACTGGAAAGATGCAAGTATCAACACATTATAGATAGTGAGGACCTCGAGTTCACTAATTCATCCAGCAGATTTGTGTAAGCCCCACTCTAATGGAACTGACTTTCTAATATAGTACAAACTTATAATATCTTTGTAAACTGGATGTTGCTATCCTGGTTTTACAATAAATAGAGATCCAAGAGACTCTACCTTTCCTTGGGTCAGACAGTTATGAAGTTTCAGAACAAGGATTTGAGTCCAGGTCTATTTGACTCAAAGCCCATGTTCTTTTCATCTGTTCATTCATTCATTTACTCTAGCTATTCCTTTGTCTATTCAGTAATTTGAATATAGCAAACATTGTTCTAGAGATTAGTGGTATAGTTCCTTATGGAGTTTACAGCTCTGGTCCCCGAAACTTGTATATTAAAAAATGCACAATATTCTAAAAGAATTAGAAGTATACTCACAGAATTCCAGTGTATAAAGAAGAAAACCAAAGACTAGCTTCTTAAAGAAAATCTAGCTTGAAGTGAGAGGTTTCTGTTAGTGTCTTACTTAATGCAGCTCTAGGACACTGGAAGAGGAAATGTTTATTCCAATTAGAATGTCAGCCATCCCTAACTCAAAAATAGAATTTAGTGTATTCCAGTCTCTTCACACTCTTTTATGTTAAATGTTATCATTCTGACATATTTATCTCTTAAAAATATATTTAAGGCAAAATCTAAATATCTTCTGATACAATACAAATCACTTGGCAAACAGCTACAGAATAGGTTTTATCTTATTTCCCAACAAGAAATAACTTCTATCATAATATTTTTCTTTCTCCCCCAAGAAGAACCTTTTAAACCAAAGAACAGAATATTTTCCAGCTCTTTAAGCCTCATCTGGCCCATGTAAAAGCTTGTTCTCATAACCACATCCTACCACATTCCCTGGAGGAGATTTTTGGAGAGGTGTTGTGGTGCCACACTCAACCCACTCCCTGAGGGAACAGAATCACTCCTTTGCCTCATCAACCCTCCAGTGATATGACTTTGGAAATTGAAAGTTTTACTCCTTAGGAAAATGTCTAGGTGAGACGTCCTACAGTATGTCATCTGAATTTAAGAAGTTAAAAAAGCATGGCTTACTAAAGGAAATATAATTGTATATGTATTTATATATGTATATTCCAATGCAATGTCAGCATCACGTTGTGTGGGAAATCACTGTCCCTTTGATGCTTTTTGACATAACTAAGTAAAACTGCTTTAAAGGAACATTAGCAATATCTACTTAAGCAGAATTTGCAAGGTTTAGACATTCTAAATGAAGTCATAATTCATCTAATTCAGCATCCATTCACTAGAAGAATGAAATCACAAAGTAATGAAAATTTATAACTTAGTTTTCACTTCCATAGAGACTTGTTTTTATAAATTTGGTGAAGTAGCATAATTTTTACTTTGTCTAAGAAAAAGGGGAAATGGATTCTTCCTGTAACATACTGTCAAATGTTAAAAGGCTGTAAAGTAGATCTATAGAACTCTGTGAACTAATGAATACTCTGAAATTCCTGGTAACTGGTACTGTTTATTAATGATGATAGTAGTGGTAGTAGTAGTAGCAGTAGCAGTAGCCATAATAATACTTGAAGATTAATATGGCCATATGAAGCAAAATCACAAAATATCCCTTCCCTATTGCTTAAAAAAATGAAACAAATACAAAATTTACCAGCAGCCCCTAAATAAGAAAATGAGAACGACTTTATGCCACTAATTTTAATGTGCCAAGGAAAGAAAATCTATGTAGTTTATTCTAGTCCCAAACTAAATGTTTCTCAAAATGGCATTTGGGGCATTTTTGTCCCAAGTTTTGAAAGATATTTTAGCATCTCTGGCCCCTTACCTATCAATACCAGTAGCATCTTGCATTCATTGTGGCAACCAAAATAAAACCACCCACACTTATTTCCAAACTCTCCCTGAAAGTGTTGGGGGTACAGGGGGAAGCCAAACTAGTGGGTGAGAGGCATTATACCTGACCCCACCCCTGTATTCCAAATGCATATTGAGGCAAGGTGAGTCTACAAAATCCTGCTAATTCTTCAATTTGGGGAGAAGAGTAAAAGATTAAATAGGTAACAATATTAGAAAAGAAAAAAAGCCTCAAGAGTTGAAGCTTCTGTTTCGAAACAGCAAGATCTCAAGAGAAACGAAGTTCTGCAGAACATGTGCTCTTCCAGAATGCTGTGTTGACTTCAGGGAATGAGCAGAAGCACATGGGTTATGGGTACTTCCCTACTGGAAGGAGTGCTCCCTGTAGAGGACGTTAATGGAATCTTAGACAGTAGTACCCAAGATGCCCAGGCTCTATCTGAGCCCTTCCTCTCTGCGACCTCCATCTCATCAGACCGAAGACAAAAGAAGGAATAGTACTCAGTCATCAAGCTTGTAGCACAGACAGAAAAGCGAACTCATTTCAGATGACAGAATCAAGGACAATTCACCCACACTATATCATAGCAGATAGCTGGGATAGAGCTTCCCAATTAAACACATGTAATTTGAGGACAAATGGCAAAGCAACTTTGTAATCCAGAAAGGGAAAAGAAAAAATATGACATATAAAAAAACCCACACATGAAGAAACCAGTCTGGAAAACAACATAGCCCAGGAAACAAAAATAGACTCCCTATAAAAGGATGAAATAAGTATGTGACTCTAATAAAAGACAAGATGCTTAGACAATAGAATATTATACAAGGAGTGATCACATAGATTAAAAAAATGAGAAAACTCAACGTGTTGTCCATGGACCAGCAACATCAACATCACCTAGGCAATGGTGAAGGCAAACTCTTGGACCCTACCCCAGGTTTACTGAAACAGAATCTGCATGTTCATAAAATCCCTCAGCTAATTCTAATATGCAGCAAAGCTTGACAACCATCGCTCCAGTATAAGAAAATGCAACACTTTTTCATTCAAATGAAAATGCACTCACCTCCCCAAAGTCTCATTAATTCCTGCATCCAGTTCCAAGTCTAGGATCGCTGGTGATGGTCACTCCTCTCCATTTCAGTCATAATCCTGTCCCAGTAGTTTATATTTGTGCGTTTAATAAAGTAAACCATCACCAGCACACCCTATATGAAATAATAAGGAAAAGGGAGAGGAGAAAAAGAAAATTAGTTAATATATATATAAAATATACAGGACACAGCAAGGAAGGAAATATGGGAAGTGAGTAGAGTCCTCCTTTCTATAGCTGGTCATGAGGCTATTGTTGGTGTTATCATTTCCTTCCTCCACTACCCACTTCAAGTTCCCCTGCCCTCAGCCCTCATCTGAGGAGTTCATTACCTGGTAGGACGTACCCAAATTTTGTTCATGGGAGATCTAAGCTCTTAATGGCTTTGCCTTTCTGAGGCTACTACACGGTTATTCTATTAACCTTATGCCACTGGAAGCAATGCTAGGAGATGTCCAAAAGATGCTTCAGGTTCTAGAAATACTCCCTTCCCTCACTGTGGTGTAGCAGCAGTCCTCTTGACCTTGACATTTAGAATCAATCATCCCAGCCACTTGGTATAATCCTTCTTGTCTGTTTTCTCCAGAATCATAAGGAGCCTCAAATTACAACATCCTCAGTTGAACATGTACCTATGGAAAAGATATGGTATCATTTTGTTTATGTGTGGAATCATTTGATATGTAGTATTAGGAAACTTGGTTCTGTTTCTGTCTTTGCAATCTAAAGATCGTAAATACAAATCTATCTTGTTCTTTTTAATTTGTCATAACATTCCACAATATGGATACATCAGATTACTTAGCCATTGTATTTCTTTCTTTTCTTTTCTTTTCTTTTTTTTTTTGTATTAACTAAATATAATGAATATCCTTGCACAGGCCTCCTTAAGCCCAATACATAAATATTTCTCTAGGGAAAGTCCTAAGTGGAATTTATGGGTCACAATATATAAATATTTTTAAAATCTTTATTAGGGTATGGTTCCTGTACAGTAAACTGCACATATCTCAGATGTACACTTTGATGAATTTTGATAGATGTATACACCCATGAAACCACTACCACAATCAAGATAGCTAACATTTCCATCACTCCCCAAGAAGTGCAGTTTTCAAATTCCCAATTTATCCTTTCCCTCCTAATAACTGTAAGTTTGTTCTCTATGTCTATGAGTCTGTTTCTTTTTTGTAGATAGGTTCATTTGTGTCTTATTTTTAGATTCCACATATAAATGATATCATATGCATTTTT